AAAATATATATGGCTGGACCGGGAATCGAACCCGGGACCTCTGCATCACTAGTCAGGTGCTCTACCGACAGAGCTACCCAGGCCGATATCCGCGGCTTAAACCATTACATTCCTCCCTCTTTAAATTGTCTTCGTCATCGAAGACACAACCCGAGTTATTTGCCCCTGACAGGGCTTTCACCTGCAAGTCCAGGGGTGGTCAACGGCACCAAATCTGTTCCAGGAAAGGAGAAAATGTATATGGCTGGACCGGGAATCGAACCCAGGACCCCTGCATCACTAGTCATGTGCTCTACCGACTGAGCAACCCAGGCCGATATCCACGGCCTAAACCATTACAATACATAGTGTGAAAAACAGGTGCCTGTTTCACTGCACACGAAAACGTTTCGTATAAATACTGTATGTTGTTCTTGAACAGAAATCACTGTAGTCAGCAACCATACTTTTCTAAACCTATGCACAAGGTTGATTAATTTTCAGATGAATTCAAATTTTCAAGATGCCTCATTAAATCGCCTTTTCGCAAGGACTTAGTAGATCTTGACCATTTTTTAAATACGTGTATACATAAAGAGAATATTCCTTAACTTGAAAAGTGCTACTTCTTTCCCGAAATCGAGAGCATTGCTTAATAAATACATAAAGTTCTTGGTTAAGGTCACACATACTTCAACTTAAGTCCAATTACTTGAAATTTAAACAAATAAAATGCTAATTCCATTTAATTTCATTTAAAGCAGCAGCATTTTCAAGAACTTACAAGATATGTAGAAAAAAAATATCAATTAAAGTTTTCCTTTGAATTTGGGTATGCCTTTGCGATATTGAAATTTGTAAATGACCCCTATGCAGTAAACATTATACATACGAATTTATCGCGTGACTGTCAAATCAGGTGCTCAAACTAATTCAATACACAGCGGGGTATACTGTGTTATTTCAATTTTATTTACCTGTACGTACATACATACAGTATGAAGTCCAAGAGGTCGCCAAGCCTTTGTAATGTTTCATAAAATATTATGCATTAAAGAACAAGAACATACCCGTCTTTCATCCCTATAAACAAATTTTAAATTATCATAACAAACGATGTTTTAACATAACTGTGCCATCTAGACCTATTTCCAAAAACAGGCAAATTGTGTGTGTGTGTTGGGGGTAGGGGGTGAAAAAATTGATTGGGTATGGCTTTTCAAGGAGGTTTTTGCCTAATCAAATACTAAAAAAAGTTTGCACATTTTGATAAATTCATCAAAAACGCTTTGTACTAAAATAATATTATTTATTGCTGAGAAAATAAATTTAAACTGTTCCAATTATGGGTCAAAATTTATATCCATCCTTTTATCAAAACCTAATTTAAATCATTAATTAAATTCTGTTATTTCAGACTGGTAATGAATATTAAGTAAAGGAAATACCTATAAGAGGCTCATAGGTCACATGGTCACCAGAGCATTTTATGCTCGATTTGACGAATACATGTACTGTGTAAATAAAAGAGTTATTTTGACTTTTTCCTTGGTAAGCCCAACATGAAGGAGTGTGTATTTAGAGGCAAACACCTTAGTGCGGGTATTACTGTCTCATGACAGCATCTAGTTTACCTCTGCAAAACACAAAATCAATTCGTTATACTTGTAATTCTAGTATATACTAGTTATCCGGTACATCATTTACATGTATAACCGTAAAAGTTTACAAGGAATTATTAAGAATGTTGCTTGTGTCTCAAAAAAAATTAAATTCTTATATATATATATATATATATATATATATATATATATATATATATATATATATATATATATATATATATATATATATATATATATATATATATATATATATATATATAATTTTTTTTCTCTCATGAAGTCAAGTTATCAAAATAAAAAGTTTACCGTTCTTAACAATAAAGGTTTACACCTTGTCATCAATATTTAAAGACACGGATCTTTCTTAATGCGACGCTTTATATGCAGAGTTTTAAGTTCTCGTTGTTTAAAAATTTCCAGCTAGATATGCTCATTTATAATTTGAAAAAGCGGGGCAGGTAGCCAATAAACTTGACTGTTTTGAATTACTGCTAGATTTTACATCTCATAAATGTCACAGTGAAACTCGAGTGCTGAGTTTACACCTATGTCCATAGATTAAGAATAGTTGGCCTTAATTATGTACCTGTTTTTAAGGATTATTTCAAGGAAGGTAAAGTTCTTTTGTTTTCCGTTTGCTTTCTCCCCGTTTGCTTTCTCTCCGCATCCTCTGTCGATCAGTCCCACCCGCCGTGAACCTATGTATTGATCAGGTAGACGTAAGATTTTGTAGTCAAATTTTGTAATATTTTCCTTGGTAAAATGTCACCTTGCAAATATAAGCAAGAGGTCTTTGTTAACATATGTTAAGTTATAATTTGTTATCACAACCTTGTGCTGCACACAACACAGATATGTTGTCTATAGATAATAGTATTCTTTCGAAATAATCCTCCATTGAACGTGGTTTAATTAATCTGTTAACTGTAATTATTTTAAGCTTAAGCAGTGAATCGGGAGAGACATGTACAGTCAAACCTGTATTAAGCAGTCACCTGCGGGAACCATTAAAAGTGACCTTTATAGAGAGGTGACCTTTGAAAAGAGGTTCATCTTTTTTCAAGAAAAATTCTTTTCCAATTTATGTAAGTTCTGTGTTTTAAAATACTACATCATAGAATATTAAAGAAGGATGTGTTTTGGACATCAATGGTCTCAGTTAGATTTTTTTTTTAATTTTAAATTAAGTTCAAGCTAAATTTGATGACTCCAACAAAAATAAATTGAGTCTAATAGGGCATTGCATTATCCTCCCTCCAAACAACAAGACTTTCTTTTATTATAAGATACATTATCAAGTTGTGCCATGAATAAAATATAATGTATTTTTTTATCTAAACTACCTCTAACATGTCTAAAGAAACAAGTTTAGTTAGTCCTGATAATTTTATGTTTAATAGTAGCGTAATAAACAGACAAGTCATAATATTCTCAGTTTATCAAAGCAGTGCATAATGCAAATTGATATCAAATTCACAGGTGTTGTGAGCATTGAAGCGTGACTAATCCTAACGGTAGTCTTACCTAGTTGAAAATCACGAGATAATCAAGACACATTGAGTATACAAAACAGTTAATTAGGGTTTCTACAAATAATAACGTTTCCAATGTGTTAAAAACGGCCTGCCATGCGTCTACACAATTACACCTATCGAAGTTGGGCATGCCAAACGTGAACTGATAATTAGGAAACACCTAATTATTGTATCCATTCATAGATAAATAAGGATGCCTTGTTTTTTAATATCATTCAGAATTTTTTAAACAAGATTCCAATTCAATAAGATTAAGATTCTCGTAAGTCCGTTTTCCTGATAACCTTTTCGGTCACTATCACCCTTGTTTAGTTTTGTTAAAAAAACACAAATGAAATATCCAATATTTTAAATAGTTTTAATAAGGCCAATTATTTTTGTTCCATGATCTCGCTAAACAAGACCAATTATTTACATTAGTGACAAAAATTGGGAGTCACCTGACTTTAGATCTGGTCACGTGATCGGACAAAATGGCCGGTATATACGAGGTAAAACAGCGATTTTACATGAAATTTGATGACCGCTGACTGCGTTACGCAGGTGACCACTTAATAGAGTTACATTATATAGGAAAATTCATTGGGAGGAAATAAAATGACCGCATAGGACAGGTGACAGCTGGATAAAGGTGACCGCTTTGACAAGTTTGACTGTACTACATAGAATTTTTAGAAATGTAAACGAAAATTATAATATGCATGTAATTATTTATTTTTGTTTGTTTGCTTTTTTAATTTATCTGTTTATCATTAATTTTGAGCAGTTTCAAGACCCTTAGAAATGTGATATTATGGGCAAAGCATTCAGCTCGGAGTGCACGCATAAGATACGACAATGCTATGAATGTCAAAAGGACACAGAATTCTACTGCAAGACATGCAAGAATGAGCTGTGTGAACAATGCAAAGAAAAACATTGTATTGATCTAGATACAATATACCACGATGTAGTAACTTACATTGAGAAATATGAAAATTTACCACAGTTTCAAAACAGGCCTTCAAAAAAGATATATAAAAGATTTTGTGATCAGTGTGAACTTCTAACTACCAATGGATGTAGACGCATCAAAAAGCATGAAATGATGAATCTGAGAACAGTTGGGTATAATCGTCGACAACTACAAAAGGATTTTATAAACAACATTAGAAGTAATACACTTTACAACAACAGTATTTTACTATATCAAATTATAAATGTAAGAGATAGTTGCCACATAGAAATTTCTAAACACATAAGTACTGCTTCCAAAATGAAAAAGATGATAAATACTATAATCAAAGAAACATGTGATGAAAAATTAAATCGGATAATTTGCATGTTAGAGCAACAGAGAAAA